GTCTCTACCACCTGCCCTTCACTGCTGACTGAACACTTCCTGACACACACCCCCGGTGGTCACCTGAGCTGTGGTTACCGTGGTGACCACAAGTGCAGGCCTGAACAAAGGAAGGCTTTCGGGTGTTTTGGTGTTTTTTTCAGAACACAGTGATTCAGCAGTGATGAGGATGATGGTGGTCTCTGATTGGTCAGACCCAGACAGGTGTGGGATCAGAGAGGCTCAGGTGCTTCTGTGCAGGTATTTAAAGCCGAACTTGATGATTCAGTGTTTTCTGCTGCACGTTTCTTTGTCTTATCAGCTGTAAATACCCGATTTATCACTGTGCTCACCTGAGAGCTGTTTACCTGCCTGTCACCTGTCTGCCTGTGTGCTGTTCGGTGGAGAACACAGTTCCATCAGCACCTTTTAGAACCACATGTTCTCTGCTCCACATGTGGGATTCAGACTCTGGACTTCAGCTTGTCCTCCTGTACTAGAACAGATTGACTCTGAACACTGAAACCTTCATCAGATCAGCGGCTCTCTGAGGACAATGAACTGATTCTCAGACTGACGTTGTGATGTTTCACCTGACGGACTCTGGAACCTACGGAGAACACACTGTTCTGCTGACAGAAGACATCTCTGAGTTCTGTCTCCTCCTTCAGGTTGTTCTGGTTCCACAGAGCTGTAGGACTTTATGTAGCAGAGAAACATGAACCTCAGTGAAGGAAACTGAGCCAGGAACAGTTTGGACTGTGGCTGGTTGAAGGTTCTGTGTGGTTCCTTCAGGCCTCATTCATTCATAGTGATCAGTAGGAGGATGGTGATGATGACGGGATGAAGGTCCTCACCTCTCTGCCGTTGTCTCTCAGCTGCTGCTCCGCCTTCATCACGCTGCTGATGGCGTCCTCCAGCTGATCCTGGGCCTGCTGACATTGCTTCAGCCCGCTCGCTGCCGCCTCGGCCGACAGCATCCTGGAAACAGGAAGCAGAGAATCCGACAGGACGGAAGTTCAGATCAGGGAACTCGCAGGCAGTCGCCATGATGCAACTTCCTCTTTCAACAGTGAGGTTCACTGCTGCTGTTAGAGTTCAACTACAAAGAACAGTGATCACAGCGTAACCATAGAAACGCTGCAGGTAACAGCAACACCGGTAGAGTTCTTCGTTCTCTCCCACAGAGCTAATAAAGCTCATTCAAAGCCTCCATTGTTCAGCTGCTGCTGTCCTCACTGACTCAGCAGCATTGTGCTCTGCGATTGGTCAGTGAGCCGACGGGTCGCCGCTGTCCACTGGGATTAAACCAGTCACACCATAGGCTGGCACTACCACCCACTAATACATGTGATGCAACACACTGGAGTACACATGGCCAGGTACAGAGTACAATAAAGTACAATAAAGTAGATCTGAGTAGATCTGAGTAGAGCACAGTGCTCCCAGACACAGCTTCAATTAAACTCATATTAACACCAATCAGATCAATGGGCTGCGACACACAGAACCGACTAATCAACTCATCGCCTGGCTGTGACACTGTGACTTCCTAATGTTTGGTTTGGTGGGCGTGGCCTCAGGGCGCGGCGGCGCCTCAGTATCAGCTGTCAGCAGGCGTCTAACAGCTGATAACAACCTGAGCAAAACAGCCTCCAGCCGAAACACAGCAGTCCTTTAACCTGGTTTATCTGTCCTTTAGCCCGGTTTAACTGTCCTTTAGCCTGGTTTAACTGTCCTTTAGCCCGGTGTAACTGTCCTTTAGCCCGGTTTAAATGTCCTTTAGCCCAGTTTAACTGTCCTTTAGCCTGGTGCAACTGTCCTTCAACCCGGTTTGTCTGTCCTTTTACCTGTTTTAACTGTCCTTTAACCTGGTTTAACTGTCCTTACCAGGTTAAAGCTCAGTTTAAACTCTTGTTTAAGCTCCTTAAATCTAAATATTGTTGTTGAGGCTTTTTTTTGGTGGACAAACTGTTAATCAGAAATGCACGATGGCATCTGACGCTTTCATGGTAATACTAGCAGTGGTGGAAGGCAGCCGTTTACTCAGTCCTGCTGTCCCCACGCTCTGCTACCTTCGTCTGGTGCATCATGTAAACCGAACATGTGCGAGTTCGGCTTCGACAACAGACACTTCTACGATTTATGGAGCGAACAGTGACGATTCAGCTACAGCTCTAAACTTTAAGGTGTCACTGAAAACAGCAGCTCAGGTCCTCAAGATAAGTTTTCGCTGAGAATGTAAAGAGATTCTTGATATTTTTGTCCTTTATATTAAAGTTAATGTTTCATCATTTCTGTATCTGATGCGGCTTCATGACACATTTAAAAACCTGAAAACTCCGCTGACAGACAACCTGGTTATCTGAGTTTAAGTCGCTAGCAGGGACGTTTCCAGGCTCACAGGAATGAGGAAGCTCCGCTCCGACCGGCCGCCATCACCGCCTGCCGGGCCGCACGTACGCAGCGATCCGGGGGGAGGGCAAGACGGCGGGGCGAAAAACCCCGCAGCTCCCGCAGGTCACAGTCTCATATAGAAGACTGCAGAGCGCATCAGTGAGTGTGTACAGCTGATATCTCTGCTACACATTAACCCGGAGTCAACGTGATTCTTAGGTCAGCTCCACCAAACTCCGTTCAAAAACAGTCATGTTTATTGTGTGCGGTTTGTCCGACAGTGTGCTCAGCTGTCACAACAACTTCTCACTTTCCCCAAAGGCCGAAGGTCTCCTGCTGAACTCGGCATGCAGATTATTCACCAGCTGCACTTTGTTTAGGTAAATTGATCAGATCAGGGGAAGCCCAGCTCTTGCTGCTTGCTTCAGCGGCAGGAGGCCGTGAGAATGACAGAAAAAACATTTAAAAAACACAACATAAAGCACCTTGTTTAAGGCGACTGTAGGACTAAGCCGAATTACACAGAGGATTATACAAGCGTGGAAAAGTAATAATAAAAAAAGATTCACCAAGTTAAACTTGACCAAACAGATAAAACTGGTGGAATTTGGAGTTTTACAGAAGGAGTTTGGTTATACACGCTTACGACACAAACCTATCCTTATCGCTTTAAAAACCGTATAAAACGATATAACTCCAGGAGGAAATGAAGATTTATTTATTTAATGAACTAAGTCAATTAAACCTGTGAAGATATTGTGGCTTTAAAAAAAGAAGATTTTCTGAGAAGCTGGAGGTCAAAGCCTGTTTGGTGCTAAAGCAGTTAGCTCAACGTGGCACATTATCGATTTCAGACATCGACAACAACATTATTGGACTCTAGAAAAACTGACGAAGCGATAATCTCTTCAAACTAATACGTTAATAATCCGTTTTCATGAAGGGGAAAACAGCGTCGTGGGATCCGTTAGCAGCTAAGTGGCTAACAGTTAATCTACAACGGCAGGTCAGCGGAGCTAACAGCGAGCTTCGTTCGCTGGCAGTACCGGGCCGGAGAAGCCGCTCTGTGGGCCGCAGCTGGCAGAACTCACCGGGGAACTTTGTTGTGGAGTTTCGGCTTCGATGTCATAAATGATCCAAGTCGGTTCGGTGGCTCTTCAGACAGAGAAAGCTCGCCGGTAAATGTTTCCAGCACCCGTTGCCACCAAGTCAAGATCACGTCAAGGAAAAAAAAAAAACAACGAGGGGCGGATAAATGTCGCGAGAACTGAAGGCAACATCTCGTTAGAGTGAGACGGAGCGAGGCGGCCCCTGCTGGACACCACAGGAGCTGCAGCCTGCAAACACACTGATAATCATAGATATGTGTTATTCTACATGTCTATACTGAGCTCGTGCACACGGTGAATGAAACTGTGGTACACAACAAGAAGACAGGCAATAAATATAGAAATCTAAACACTTCTAAATAAAATATACGTTAAAGAAAAGAATAAAAGCACCATGTAAATAAAAGTACTGTGTAAAAGAGAGTAAACCAGAGTAATAAATTAGAAAACAGTTTAAGTTACAATATTGCACACGGATTAGAAGAAGTGCACATGTAATGATTTTGCATAGAGGTGGTGCAACAGGAGTCTTTAATGATTTACTGACTGATTGTTCATGAGGGAAGAAGCTGCTCTGGATGTTTGGGTGCTTACAGACCTGAAGCAGCCACATTAAAATATAAATACAGAAAGGAAGAGAAAGAATAAATGTTGCTCAGAGGGACTCCTTGGATTTGTCAGATTTTCATGTAAAATATTGTAGAAACATAACTTTAGTTGTTCATTACTCAGGTTAATCTGCATAATTACTGTAGGGCCTCAACCTGAAGATTTATTTATTTTATCAGGTGAAGCTGAATTTTTTATAGTAGTTGATATTACTGTACATACATTTACATCATAGATAACACTGTAGAGTCTGAACATGAGTATTTAACTTTTTTTTAGGACAGTGCTACCTATAGTGATTAATAATCACTAAAGTGCACAACTTTGGCTTTTAAAGGAGGATTTTTTAAAAAAGGTTTATGAAATGAGTACTCCACACAAGCCCTACTTCATGTCCAAGAACCTCTAATTTCAAAGGTTTATTCCACCCAAATGGTGCTTTTAACTAACAAGTTAAGGTTTGGAAGGTTTATTCTATCCAAAATACTACTTGTTACAATAATAACTTAGTTGCATTTGTACAAATTGTGTAATTAGCATTCTTATGTCATCATCAGGTAAAATAATAATCAAATCATCTGCTGTGGCCTCTGTGGTCTCTGGATCTCAAACAGGACGCTTACAAAGAAGAGAAATACAACTCTGAGGCGCATGCGTATGTATACACACGCATTTTATATAATAACACTTTAAAGTTGCTCACATGAAAGTGGACAATGCTAGGGACACATACGATGGTAAACTGATTCAAATTCTCTCATACATAGCAAGAAAGACAATTGTCAACCTCTGCATATCGAAGGACAGCTCTGCTGGGGAGGACTGGTATAAGGAGGTCCTGAGGAGACTCCCTCTGGAAAAGCTGAGCCACACCCTTCACGACAATGCTGAAGGATTTATGAAGATATGGCGACCCATCCTGGACAGTGTGGACACTATGGACCCATCCTAGTCGGGACTTTGCTCCATCAGGTCAACACTGTTCTGGTCAATTTGAGAAGCAGTGACACCCTGGTGGTGTAGAGGGGTGGACATCTTGATTGTTTGTTTGTTTGTTGTTTGTTTGGTTGTGTGTGTTTTTTTGTTGTTGTTTTTTTAAAAACCAAAACATATTTATCTTCATTTAATCTGCTTGCTTGTTTGTTTGTTTGCTTTTTGATACCTGCTGTATGTTCATGCCTGTTCAATGGTTTCAAAAAACAAAAAAAATGTGGGAAAATAAGGTTCAGCTTTGTATTGTACACAAAAAAACTACGAACCTCAATAAAGAGAAGGAATAAATAAATAAATAAATAAAGTTGCTCAGACTTCTTTCACATGTTAGCAGTAGCTCTGCTGTGCAAACAAAGCCAGGTAAGAGGCCGGGGTTCCTAACAGTGGTAGTCAATGGTCTGGGGTCTGGGGTCAAGCAGATGAGTTCAAGGTGTGCTAGTCCTCGCTGCAGGTGTGTTCACTTAGGTGATTATCCAATGGCTGCACCTGCCCAGATCCCCCACACACGTCCAGCTCATGCCCACCCAGAGGGAGAGACAGGGAAAAAGAAAAAACTAAAACCTACAGCACACAGAGCCAGAGGTGGACCGAACCATAACCCTCTATGCAACGTTTCTATATGCCGTGTTTTTATGCGTTCAAAGAGACCAATAAAGTTTATTTTAAAAAAAGAAAAGAAAAAAAAACAAGTTCATTAGAATTCACCTTCACTTCCGGGGCTCTCCGTGACGTAACTCCGCTGTGTAGTTCAGCCAAGTGACGCAACGACGTATGGCGCGCGCAGCCGGACTTCTGCTCCGAGAATGCACCGCGGCACGCATGCTCAGTCTGGACACATGAAGGACGAAGACAGATGATCGGTGAGTTCTGCTGCGTTCTACCGATTCCACCGAAATACACCAGGTTCTGAACCGGAACCGGAACTGTAATTTTCTCTTAAACGATTCTTTACTGAACGGAACGGGTTCTGATGGTTCTTCTCCCGGTTCTGTCACTATAATCAATATGTTACACCTGATACATCAGCAGTGTTTATAGTAACACTACTGCAGGTACTTCAGTCAGATCAGATCAGCTTTATTGATCCCTCATCAAGTCAGTTTTGTTTATAAATGTTCTGCACTTATCTGTTATCCAGAGCGTTCACAGTGTTCCTCATTCACCCATTCACACACATTCACACACTGGTGGCCTCAGAGCTGCCGAACAAGCTGCTGCTGCCATCGGGAGCAACTTCAGGTGTCTTTCCCAAAGACGCTTCCACTGTGGAGGGGATCGAACCACCAACCTTAGGACTGGAGGACAACCCGCTGTACCACCTGAGCCAGTTACATAGCTCAGTTTACACCACATATCATCACACAGCTCCGGACATGGTCCAGGCCTCACAGATCTAAACAGAGACCCAACAGTCCAGAGCAGCCCTCTGAGCAAATGGTCGGCAACGGTGGGAAGGAACCAAAAAACAAAAACCCACTGGGAGGAAAAAACCTCCAACAGAACCAGGCTCAGGGATGGAGGCCATCTGCCTGGACCGGCTGGGTGGGAGTGGAGATGAGGAGGTGATAACAGGACAGCAGATGGAGAGCAGCAGTAGAACAGAACAATAAATATATGAGAACAAACACAGGACCTCAGAGAAACACACAGTTAGTGACATGTGATAGTGGTTATAACTGTATGGAAGGAGGAGAGGAGAGGAGCCCAGTGCATCATGGGAGTCCCCCGGCAGTCTGAAGCTACAGCAGCATCACTGAGGAACAGTCCAGGTGATCCTGAGCAGCTCCAACTATCAGCTTCATCACAGAGGAACGTTTTCATCCTGACCTTAAAGCACAGAGGGTGTCTGCCTCCAGAACCCAGACTGGGAGCTGGTCCACAACAGAGGAGCTGATAGCTGAAGGCTCTGCCTCCCATTCTGGTTCTGGAGAGTCTGGACCCACCAGTAGACCTGCAGTCTGAGAGCGAAGGGTTCTGTTAGGATGATACGGTACAATCAGGAAAATGTACGTTACGGACACAGAACAACAGGAAACATGAAACATTTACACGTGAACATGTGTGACGTGATGAATCTACATGTGAACATGTATGACCCGCAGGACGACGTTCTCCTCTGGTCCACAGTACTATCAGAGCAGAGCAGACGGAGCGTTGTTGCTCAGGAGGAACCGGTTCAGCGTTCTGTTGTTGGGTTCATAATCTAACTTTGATCGTTTATGAGGAGCTGTTCCATCACCAGCAGTGTTCAGTGCAGTGTTACTATATAAAAGTACACAGCTGCTGGGTTCAGTGACACCGACTGATTACAGAGCTGCAGTGATTGGTCAATTCATTGATAAATGTACAAGTTGATCAATCGATGGCTGTTTCATTTTCTTGATTCAGTGCTGTAAGATAGCGACCCTCACCTGTTCTTCACCTGTCCCTCAGTGTTCGTGCGGTACAACCTGGGCCCAGGTGTGGCCGTGGAGCTGCAGGAGGAGGCGAGCGTGGCCGAGCTGAAGGAGCTGGTGGGGTGTCAGCAGGGAGTCCGGCCTGAGCAGCTGCGGGTTCTGTTTGCTGGGAGGGAGCTGCAGAACTCCACCACCCTGCAGGTGAGCTAGAGCTTCACAGCAGGTGAGGGCGGAGCCTAACTACAGATGCGACCTGATCATCATGTTTTCCTCTTAGGGCTGTGACCTTCCGGAGCAGAGCACGGTCCACGTGGTTCTGCCTCCTCCTGGTTCATCCTCTCAGATACTGCAGCCGAACCATCTGACCCGACTGGACCTCAGCTCCTCCCTCCTCCCACCCTCCACCCCCTCCTCCTCCTCCCCCGGCCCAGCACTGGTTCTGGAGGCGAGGCAGGACGCTGCAGGTGAGTCACCTTTAATGATGAACTTCATGCAGCCACTTCTAAAGCTGGGTTTAGGTGAGTTCTTCTACATCACTGCTGCTACAAGGAACATTATCACGACACAGATCCTTCCACTGCGTCCACACCAGCAGCCTAGAACCACGGACACCTTCAAATCAAGGGCTGCTTCTCACTGCAGTGTTCTGATACCTGTAAGGTTCCGATACCTGTAAGCACCTCATTAGCTCTGACTGCTGAACCTGAACCTTCTGTGTTGCTGCTCTGAGCTCTGAATGTTAAATTAAGCTCAGCTGTGAGTTTTACTGCTGCAGCTGTTTGTCTTCTGTGAACTTGGCGCCACATCCAGGAGCAGTCTGGAGGCAGAACTGCAGTTTTCTTAATGCAAACTGAATATTAAATGACTTGGCTGAGATGTGGGTGGAAACATGTGGTGTGGACGTGGTGCTGATGCTGAGGCAGGGAGGTTTTGTTTCAGCTGAAACAGGAAAAACAGCAGCAGACCATGGAGACATTTAAAAGTCATCAGCTGAGTTTTTGAATCAAGTTAAATGAAGAGTCAGCAGCAGCCAGGTGACCCTGCTGCAGGTGAGACAGTCAGGCTGTAGGGGGCGGGCTTTCACCGTGGCAGTAGTTCTGTACTCTCTGGTACTCTGTCCTTACAGGTGTGCGTACCTGCAGTACTTTCTTTGTGTACTGTAAGAGCTGTAGGTCAATCCAACCAGGAAAACTGAGAGTTCGCTGCCGAAGCTGCAGACAGACGACGCTGACACTCAGCAGGGTGAGCGCAGTACGAGTACTGCAGTATTAGTACTACATGAGTGTTTGGATGCACTGCTTGATGCTACTGTACGTGGACGTGAGGCTCTGTGTCTCCATCAGGGTCCGTCCTGTTGGGATGACGTCCTCCTTCCAGGTCGTATCCATGGCGTCTGTCAGTCAGAAGGTTGTCATGGCAACGAGGCGGTAAGAGGGCGGGGCGTCTGTGAAAGGCTGCAGTGATTGGTTGGTTAATCTGCAGCTGTTGAATTAATAAACTAAAAATTATCTAAAATGTGTGACAAGCTGATGATGAACATATTCAGCTGATTAATAAATAATAACGATAACGGTCAGTCGCAGCTCAGAGGAGTAAACGTCATTACATCACATTCACATTACGTATATATAGAAAACATCCAGCGGCAATGAACAGGGGAAAATCAGACATCAGTGACAACACAAAGACTGTGTGTGTGTGTGTGTGTGTGTGTGTGTGTGTGTGCACGCAGGAGTTTTACATGAAGTGTGCGACCCATCCAACCTCAGATGACGACCTCTCTGTGGCCCTCGACCTCATCATGACCAACATCAGAGGCGTCCCCTGTATCGCCTGCTCTGACGTCATGTAACATACACACACACACTCACACAGACACACACACAGACACACACTGATGCATGTGATGCCTGCTGACCTCAGTGTCCCCTCCTCAGGGACGTGGTCGTGGTCTTCCAGTGTTCGGAGCGTCATGTGATCTGTCTCGACTGTTTCCGTCGTTACTGTGAGACTCGACTGAGCGAGCGACAGTTCGTCCATCATCCCGTCATCGGATACTCGCTGCCATGTGCAGGTGAGGCGGGGGAGGGGCCACCTGTCAGCTCAGTATCATGAAAAACCAATGTTCACATTCAGCAGCATCATCATGTCTGATGTCTGTCACAATAAAGCCACTGAGAAACCACCGAAGAAGACAGTTCAGAACTCCATTAAGAATCTGTCTGATTTTAGCTTCCTTCAGTTCAACAGTAATCAGCAATGTTTCGCTGACATCAGTGATTCTCTGCAGACAGCAGCTGCTCACACACAGTTCTGCTGCTTTATTTTGACCGTTTAAATGAATGGAAACAAACTCTGTTTCATCTTTATCGTCTGTTTATCAGCTGTATTTCAGTGACTCAAAGATGATGATGACTTGCAGCAAAGTCGTGTATAAATGTGATCATGTGATGTTTGTGTCTGCAGCCGGCTGCGATGACTCTCTGATCAAAGAGCTGCATCACTTCAGGATCCTGGGAGACGATCAGGTGACTATAGGAAGTAATTCAAGATATTTACTGTTTCAGGACTAAAGCCTCCACTGAGGGAAATATTCTGTTGATTCATTCAGTCCAAAGGCGCTCAGCTGACAGAATGTAAACGACAAAAGCCTGAAAAAAGGTCAGAAAACGTCTGAGAAAAATCAACGAATTGATTAAAACATATGAATGGAATCTCTGAAAAACATGAGTTGAATAAATGTTAATGAAATATCTGAACAAATGTTTGCAAAATGAGCAAATTAACCATAACTTTACCAACAAAACCTTTTGGTAAATATTAAAATATTCAACAAAATATTCAAAACTTAGTACAATTTTAAAAATCCCTTAAAACATAAAGAATGTAAATTTAACTTAAAGAATGTCTACAGAGTACTTACATGTTGTTGTGCAAGTTATTTGAAAAAATATAGTTAAAATATGAACGTATCAGTCAATAAGAAAAAGCCGTATTTGAACAAACAGATGTGAACCTGCTGCTGCAGCTACATTTCATTTGTAGGTATTTTCCTGTTAACTGCTGATTTCAATCAGAGAATCTTTAACATGTGTTGCTGAGAGGAAACCCCTCACCTGGTTTACCCAGAATCCCCCTCACACACCTGTCTGTCTGTCAGTATGGGCGGTACCAGCAGTACGGGGCTGAGGAGTGTCTGCTGGCGATTGGAGGACTGATGTGTCCGTCACCTGGCTGCGGGGCGGGGCTTCTCCCCCCTGATGACGGCAGGAGGGTGGAGTGTGACAGACAGCTGGGCTGTGGCTTCATCTTCTGCAGGACCTGCGGAGAGAGCTACCACCAGGGGGCGTGTCAGGTGGCGTCGGCCCCACCCACAGGTGAAGCCTCACAGGTGAGCTGACCAATCACAGAATTTTCTGGGCAGTAATGCTGAATATGTTTGTGTGGACCAATCCTCACAATGATTACCTGCTGAAGGAGACGGTCATGTGACCTCCTTTCTGCCCCGCCCCCTTAGGGCTTCGTGGTCGAGGGGGAGGCGACTCTCAGGGGGAGGTGGGACCGAGCGTCGCTGCTGCTGATCCAGGAGTCAACCAAACGCTGCCCCCAGTGTTCGGTTCCCGTGGAGAGGAACGGTAAGCAGTGCGTCAGGCGTGTTACAGCACACGTGACAATGAATGAAGCGTGTTGGAACACACATGTAAAGGTGCCTGATGCGTGTAGCTGTCTCCCCCTGCAGGTGGCTGCATGCACATGCAGTGTCCTCGCTGCAGGATGGAGTGGTGCTGGCTCTGTGGCGCCCCCTGGAACAGAGACTGCATGGGAAACCACTGGTTTGGTTGAACATGCAGCAGCAGCAGCGGCCCGACATGATCACATGACTGCAGAGTTCCCCACGACCACTTCACACCAACATGGAGGACGAGTCTGATGCTGAATTACAGCTGGACCCGATGGTTTTGATGCTTTCTTCAAACTAATAATGAAACAGAGAAGCAGCTTCAATCTGACAGAAGGAAACTGATGACACTTTAGATTTGACCCTTTTTAACTCCGTGACCTAAAACGAAATGAACTGATGCAATAGACTCATACAGACACTGACTGAGTGACATCACGCTGACATCATGGCATCACAGTTCATATGAAAACAATCAATGCTGCTTCCAATACCTGAGGATCCCATTCAGAGTGTGACTGTGATGACTGAATGTGTATAAGGATCTTTAAGATGAGATTAGATAGAACTTTACTGATCCCTTTGGTAGGGTACCTCAGGGAAATTATTGGTTAAAGACACTGAACAATGAATAAAGACAAAGAGCTTTAACAGTGTTTCACCGTGTGTCATTAGATGCATTTAAAATTGTATACAGACCTTTAATTACACACAAAGCATGTCATAAACATCCATATATTTGCAGCTTGCAAGCTGTTAATCATTCTAGGAGGTGCCTTCAGACTTCAGTTTGGGTTCAAGTGAAACAAACTGATGCTTTACGAAGAGCGAAGTCAACACGTGTGAAGAGACAATGTTCAGAATTCAGAGATGTGATGCTCTGACCAAGCAGAAAACAGCACGTTGTTCATTCAAATCGATGAAGATCAGTCAGAGGTTTTCAATCAGCATGACCTTTTGTGAACTGAGGCCCTGGATCTGGACCTGGATCTGGACCTGGATCTGGACCTGGACGTGACCCTCCATCTCCACCCACTGATAAGATGAAGCATAAACCTTTGAACCAACAGCAGGCTGATAAACGTCACCGTCAGCTGAGTTCAAGGTTTGTTTTCTTCAGCTGAAACACAGAAGCAGCGGACGGATCCAGATCCGAGACGGTTCTAGTCCTTCATCCAGGTTTGAGGGCAGGAGATAACGGATTCAGGAGACCGATTCCACCAAGTCCTGCGGTGTTCTGTAGGTTTTACCTGGTCCAGTTCGGCTCTGCAGGTTCCAGGAGGTCTGTCAGGTCTATCAGTGTGGAGTTCTGGACTTCTGACCAGGTGGACGGAGGCTCAATAGAACCAGGATGAAGAGGCGGAACCTGTCAGGTCTGACCGGGCTGCAGAATCCTGGACTGGAACTGGAGTTGATGGACAGAACCAACATGATCCAGGTCAGTCTGAGTGTTTGATCCAATCTACAGGTGATCCCAACCGGGTGGAGCTAAACTCACTAGACTCATATAATTACCTTTACTTGTGTTTACAATATTTTTAAAGAAAAACACATTCAAAGGTGAAGAAGAGTAAAAACACCAGACAATACAGAACAAACCCCACCCGTCTGGCTCGTCCAGGGGAGAAAAACTAACACAAAATAGCCCACTTTCAATTCACACAATAAAAATACAAAGAGCTCATCACACCTGAAATTCACTTAAGTTCTCTGGTTCTCCTC